GCGGTATGGTAAAGATAGCCATGTCACTACAAATCTGCCGTGTGATCGCCGGATAATAGGTCGTGGTCTACTATCCTAAATCAAATCTACAATTTATATTCCTTATCTACTCTACCGAGTTTACACAAGATAATGGAAAGCTAGGGTCGAACCACAAGGACTTAGTGTATTAATTTGAGCTAATTAAACTAGTAGGAAGGTTGTGAGATAGAGAGAGAAAAAACTAAAACACTACTAAGCTAATTACATTAATGGATTCAACAACAAATTGCAATTAAAAGATCATGATCTTAATTAGGAACGATCAACACACTCAACTCACTCCCACGCAATTAAGCATGTTAATTATCCTACTAAGCTAATTCACTCCCGCGCAACTAGCCTAGCAAATGTATGGAAGAATCTAGACTCTCAATCAACTCACTTCTACACAATTGATTGAAAGCACAATTAAGAACCTAGAATCAATTAGCTAACAAGATTCTAATCAATGTAAGCATCATCCAAACACAATAATCAAGAATCAATTACATACTAATCACAATCAATCACTCAATTCATTAACATAACCTTCATCCATTTCCCTAGAACAAAATCTAAGCAAACATAATGAAGAAAAACAAGGAAAACAAGGTTAAACAAGAATTAAAGCAAGAATCAAACAAGTAAACTAGTTATCTACTCTAATCAACAAAGAATTAAGCAAAAACAAGAAGTAAAAAAAGCAATAAAGGTGATAGAAAGTTAGAAAAGCTCATTGAATAAATGAGAAGAGAATCCACAAAATTGCTTCTTCAAGCTCTCAAATCTCCATTAAAATCCCAAGCTTTCTCTCTCTAAAACTACTCCTAAACTAGAGAGAGAAACTCCTAATCTAAGCCTAATCCTAATTAGAGGAGATAGAAAAATGTCAAAACTTTCTTTTCAAGTCTAAAGAAGTCGTCCTATTTATATTACAAGAAAAAAAAGAAGGAAATCCGGAAATTAAGATCGAAAAACACCCAGAAAGCCGCTCCCGCGGCAGCAACTTCTCCGAGGCATCTCCAATAAGTTGCAAAGGCTGGAAAAAGCAAAGAGTCGCGCCCGCGGCAGCATCTGTCGGGCCCGCGGTGGCTGAAGCCTTGCTCGGGGAGGCCTGGGCTGCTGAGCTGCTCCTTGCTGCTACAGTGCTACTACCAGGCTGCCACTTTCAGCTGCTTGAGGTGATGCTCGAGGTGCTCGAAGGGTTCTAGCATTAAGTGCTATAATTGCTCGAGTTCTTAGCTTCTTTCTTAGCTTCAACCTTCTTCTATTGAATTTTCTTACCTTCTCTCGGGTCATAAGCATCAAAGAAAGCGCCCAGCACCTACACAAATAGACCAAGAGAGAAAAGAGTGAAAGAACACATAGGAAAACACGCAAATCAAGCTAGAAACCGAGCAAAAAGCATATTATTCACAACTAAAGCCTAAAACCATAAACTAAGACAAAGATAACTAAAACAAGACTAAACGTACTAGAGATAACAAAGAAACACCAAAATAAACCTTAAACTAAGGGAAAAAAACCACCCTAAAATTTGTCATAAATGACACTTATCAAATTCCCCCAATTAAGCTTAACTCTAGCTCGTCCTCGAGAAAGACAAAAACAAAAGAGAAAAGGAGAAATATTTATTCAAAAAAGACCAGCACACTAAAGGAGACGAGAATGTACACTAACTCACTTTCGTAGGAATCATGGTCAATTTTAGGAACTAAAGACAAGCCCTTTAAACCCCTAGGTCGCCCTAGAGGACGAGTGTGCTCTCTTGAAGGTTTTATAAGAGTTTAACCCATAACTCTTGACAAAAACCAAGGCAAGGCGACAAAAAGAAAAGAATAAGAGAAATAAAAAGAAAAAGAAAAACAAGTTCATATTTGGACAAGAGATAGGAACAAGCACCAATGATTGTAAACCTTTCTAAACAAACAAATGTATGCACGTTCCAAGATGTCAATGGTTGATTGAAACACAAAATATGCTAAGCAATAGAGAACTAATGAGGACTCAACCCACCCTCGTTCCAACCAATCGGGCCACGTTCTCACCACCAGCTTCAAATCAACCCTTAAGCTAGCTTCTCATGATTCCTCGAAGGAACCGAAAAAAGATAAAGAAATGAAAATTATGAGAAGGTCGTCCCGACATCTTAACTATGCATACTCTCTCCATAGGTTTGAAAACTATCTCCCTCCACCAATGCTGACTCAACCCTCACGGGTCTTAGGGTCTTTTATTGGTTGTAACATAAGGCTAGGGGTCAAGGCGGGGCAAAAATTTGAAAATTTTGGTGGTATTTCCTAAGTGAAGCAAAAGGGTGATCAAACCTCAAAAACAAACTCAAGAAGTCACCAAACATCAAACAAAAATACCAACAATGCCAACTTCCCCAAGCTTATTCAATACCAACACATAGTATATACAAAAACGAAGGAACGCTTCTCCCCCCCCCCCCCCAAGCTTGAACGGAGCATTTTCCTCAATGCTTAAACAAGGGAAGACAACGAAACCAACTAAAATATTTTTGTTGTTTTTGTTTCTATTCAAATTTTTATGGATTTTACTTGTTTTTTCTTTTCTTTTTTTTCTCTTTTTTTTCTCTTTTTTTTTTTTCCTTAGCTCTTATTTGGTGTCCTTGCCTTTTTTAACTATGGACAGCTTTTTCTTGAATGCATTTGCTTTTATTACACACAATATATACAATTTACTTTCTTGCTTGGTCCAAAGAGCATATTACTTTCTCTTTTTCATTACAACCATCAAAACACAAAACAAACTCTCAAACCAAAATGCTTCACAAAACTAAGGGTTAGGGAAAAAAAAGGTCATAAGGCTTGTAATGTGGCTAGGCTTAAGGGGTTAGCAAGAGGATCAAATGCAAAATAAAAACAAAATTTGTAACAAAACAAAAAGGAGATAAAGAAAATGAACAATTCCCTTGTCCTCCCATAGAGTGGCTCGGTCACGGTCTCGGAAAGCCAGAAGTCAAGCCAAAGATTAAGACATGCATAGCTAAGGATCCTAAAATGCCGCTCAAGAAGGTGATGTAGGCTAGAACAAATGAAGCTCACACGGAATATACATTTACCAACTCAAGGGCTTCAAATCCACTATGAAAAGCAACACCATCTTACCACTCTCCCGTGAACAAGGGTTCATGGACCCAAGAGTTCTTAAACCGGCTATCTTAGCATATAATATCCTAGAATCAACCAATGACATTCTCAAACCGTGCACACATTCACCACTTAGGAAGAAAAACGTCCAAGGATACAAATCCAAAATAGAATGTCCAAAACAAGAACTAACAAAACACATTTTACCAAAATTACCTTGAATGTAAACAAAAATCTTTATGGATTTTACAAAATAAAGAACATGAAAATGCATATACAATTGTACATGACATATGTAAATCAACATCCCACCAAACATGATAGAATACCCTCCCCAAAGCTTGAATGAGACAATACACTCAAATCATAAACCATAAAGTCCATGGGAGGGGAAAAGAAAGAAATCAATCTAACAAACCAACACATGGTCTTCAAGCCACCAACCATTAGAGAAAGAGCAAGGAAAGATATTACCGGATGTAGGTGGGTGTAAATACCCGCAAATGACCCAATTTAATCTTTCAAAGCCAATTTCCTCCAAAGTTATGTCTCATATACGATATGCTAGGTAAGAGGAGTCAAACTTCCTTGATTCTTGATCCAATACCAATACACCAAAGTATATCAAGTTATGTACCTAGAAAAAGGCACACAAACATTTCCATGAGAGAAAATCTATACTAAAAAGAAAAGAAAATAAAAGCAATAAAACACGGGTTACTTCCCGAGAAAGGCTTGCTTAAGGTCCAAGCATGATCGCTCTAAAAAATCCTTGTTTCTGCCTAGCTGCCACTTTCAGCTCTTGAGGTGATGCTCAGGGTGCTCGGAGGGTTCTAGCCTTAAGTGCTTACAATTGCTCAACTTCTTAGCTTCTTTCTTAGCTTCAAACTTCTTCTATTGAACTTTCTTGCCTTCTCTCAGGTCAAAGCATCCAAGAAAGCGCCCAGCACCTACACAAATAGACCAAGAGAGAAAAGAGTGCACGACCACATAGGTAAACATGCAAATCAAGCTAAAAACTGAGTAAAAAGCATATTATTCACAACTAAGGCCTAAAACAATAAACTAAGACAAAGATAACTAAAACAAGACTAAACGAACTAGAAATAACAAATAAACACCAAAATAAACCTTAAACTAAGGGGAAAATACCATCCTAAAATGTGTCATAAATGACAATTATCACCGTGACATGGTAAATAAATTGTGGCTCGGTAGGTGATTCTTTCATTTCTGAAGATCAAAGCGCGTGAAAAGATAAAACTAGGTCAAACAAATAGCCATGGCACGACAGATGGCCTTTTCTGAAAATCCGTCTAAATTCATTTTATCTTTTATTTTATATTAAATACGGGATATTTAGGCGTCGTTTCAGTTTTTCCGGACCTATTTCAGGTTCAGGGTTTTAATATTTATTAATCGAGCTTAACTAATAACTAAAATGAAATGGATTAAAAATGTTTGGGCTGAAATGTGGATTGGACTATGCTTTGACTAAGTACTTGGACTGATCTATAGACTGATTTGTAGACTATATGTTTAATTGAATACGGATTTTATGCACTCCCGTGATTAAATACTCGACCCGACCAATAAGGGCGGTGAAAGGTTGTTCTTCATCGGTTTTGGTTTTGGGGAGACATTTTTAGATGTCTACAATAGCTAAATAGTTAGACTCTTTAATCTAACACAAAAAACACCAAAAAAAAAAAATAAGCCTTTGCTTCATGTTAGCAATTCTAAAGATCAACAAAAGATAAACCCCCAAAAAAAGCAAAATGCACCTTAGAAATCAAATTCCCCTGTAGTAGCCTTCAATCATAGACTTTTCATTGCATAAATGTCAGAATTTTCACTTGTTCCCTAATTTTCTTCATAGTAGTTCCCAAAATAAGAATCAGAACCAACATCATCATCATCATCATCATCATTATCAAAGTAGTTCCCAAAATCAAAACCACTGTCTGATTCAAATAATGCATCCAATTCTAGAGCATCTTCTTCACTCTCGGTTTCTAAATCAGAATTTAGGTTGCTTTCAGGCTGTTCATCAGTCTCATCATCTTCCTCAGTCTCTCCTTCTTCCTCGGACTCACCTTCTTCCTCAATTTCGGCTTTATCTTCCTCGCTATCTAATTCAAAAACAATCACTTTTCGTTCACGCTCATCACTTTCAACCTCTCGCTGTCTTTTACTGCTCTGTTCTCCTTCTTCCATTTTGCGCTCCATCTTCGAAGTCCCTTGTTGCAGTAAGTCCATATGATTGTTCATCTGCTTTGTCACATCGGAAAAATACAAGAGAAAGCTTGAAATATTCTCTTCCTGTGATTTCCTTGCATTGGGCTTCCATGCAGGTGGTGTGAACACTTTCCCAGAGGTAACAGTACTATCAGTATTCGCCATTTCAAAGAAAAAGGAATAAGGAGGACAGAAAAGGAGATGAAAGGAATGTATTATAAATTAGACAAATTCAAGTACCCAATTTGACCAATCAAAACAAAGATCATAATTATTACACAGTCTTGAAGAATAAAACCATATGTATTCCAAAGTACATCTTTACAAATTCTTCAATTCAATACATCATGTTTCGCTATAGTGCATACATTAAAAAAATCTAAAAATAGAAAGTAGCTTTTCTTATATTTCCTTTTATGCACAATTTCTATACACACGTGTGTTGGCTACGGTTTCTAATTTTTGCCAGTCGTTTCTTTGTACGCCATGTTTAAAAGGATTATCTAAAATCTTAAATTATATATTTTATTTATAATAAACCCAGGTTCATTGTGTTTTATAATTATCCTTTAAAGAAACTATAACAGCAATTAGATATAGAGATCGTATCTATTTTTTATACAAAATTACACAATGTGATAGTACCTTTCGTATTACAATTAAATCAAACAGTTACAACAAATTTACTAAAACTTGGAATTGCCTACACTTGTTAGCAACACAAATTTATAACGTCTTACAATTACCATTTTTTAAATGTATTTATAGCAACAAATATTACCCTTCATTATCAATAATCAAATAGAATTATAACAACAAATTTACTAAAAATCGAAATTACAGAAGAAAGAGTGAAAAGAAGAGCAAAGAAAGAGACAGAAAAATAAGCCTTTGTAAACACTGAAGAAATAAATTAAAAATAATGTACTAGCTTATTTTTGTCCAATCAATACTGGCCCACAATGACTATAGGTACAAGTCATTGCAAGAATATGATAGCGAAGATTATATAATTCTGATAGAGTATTGTTTCAATAGAGATAAGATTCATTTTACATCTAATTACTTATATAGACAGAGTTTGGTTGCCATGTTTAAAGCAATTTTTAAAAAAAATTGAGAAAATTCATTTGACATTTTATTACTAGAAATGTTACGATTTTTACCGAAGCAGCTTCTTTTGTCTAATTAAAATCAGTTTTTTTTTAAAAAAAAAATTACAAAATCAAAATTTATGGGGATATTATAAAATACAAAAATATAACACTAATTGATATTCTCTGTGAATAATCATACTACATGCATTTTTAGTAATTTATTTTAAAACGATACCAAATAGCAATAATTTATAGCAGTACTTTGAACAAAATACAATTACGCTTTAGATAACACAAATTATTACGTTCACTCAATTTTGGATTATTGGGCAATTGCGCACACCGTGTTGGGTTTCGTGATGTCCAACACCACGCGGAAGGAAACCCGCCCAAAATCCAGACATAAATTAAAGTAACTAAGCATGTATTAAAACCTTAATCACATGATTAACAAGAAAAGAGAGAAAGAATCATTACCCTTGCAGCGTTCTTCGCTCTAACTTAAAGCTCGGACTTGAAAGCGTAGAGTCTCGCAAACGCGCGAACCTCCAACGACTAACAACCTCGCTACCGAACCGAGCTGGTCCGTACCCCGAAGCTTAGTCGGGGCTAGACCAAAAATTACTTAGAGTATTATGATAGGCGGTCGCACACCTAAAAAAAATAACCTAACTAATTGATCTGGAATTAATCCATGATCCGGAACTCATACAAGCCAATGAACCTAACAATTCAAAAGGGCCAAACACACGTTCAAGGGTCCAAAAATATCAAGTTCCTATTGTCCATGGGTTGTTCGTTCATGGGTCCAAGTTAGACAAAGTGCAACGCATGGGCTTTGATGTTGCTTCGTCATTATACAAGTCATGCTTGACTTGGATAGATGACTAGGCGTAGAAGGTGTTTAATTGGATGCCTTGGATTCTTTCTTTGCTTTGGGGAAAGGATCTTCTTGGATACTTGCTGTTTAGGAGGCAGCCAAAGCAAGGGAATAAAGAGGAGGTTACGCTCAGTTGCTAGGAGTAATTAGCTAAATTTATAGTTGCTGTAATAAGGGGCTGTAACAGTCAGTCGTTACAAGGAAGAAGTTGGACGCAGCTGCAGCGAGTTCCTTCAGGAACTCACCTAAAGGAACTTCGATAGTTACTAGTCTTTATTATGTAACGATTTCCCAAGGGAAACGTTACACAGGAGGGCTGAGTATCCCTGGTGACTTTTGAGTTCTTTGTTGGAGACTTTTAAAGTTCCTTTTTAATTATGTTAGTTAATGGTTAATTAATGTAACTAGCTACTTCCTTAGCCTATAAAAGGAAGTTTTATTCTAGGTTGTAATTCATTCATCTATCAAACTTTTAATGAAATACAACAACTCAAGATATTTTTATGTCTTATTTGTTTTAAACTTGTGGATTCAAGTTTAGCTTGAACTCGTGGATTCGAGTTTGTGAGCCTAATCCGGAGTGTTCGGGATTAGCTTGTTTATGGTTATTAGAGTGAGTGTTCAACTCTAACCATACTTATCCTTGACTAGTATTGCGAGTGTTCCTTGCTAATCAACCCCCGAGTTCCTCGTTGTCAGGAACTTCGTTCTTTCCTTACCCAGTTCCCACAGGAACACCTAGCCTAAAACACATAACCCATCACTCAAACACCTTAACCCATATCCGTTTCCGCATCACTAATCCTCCTAACTATGTAGTAGGGTAAGTCAGGGTCGAATCCCAAGAGACTAAGGTTCAAAAATAATTAAATAGACTCAAATTCCTACTAAGCAAGAATCCAATAATGATCGATTAACTAGAGAACTAAAGTATGGAAATAAACTAAAGAATATGATAATCAAATAATTAAAACATCCAAGATCTAGTATCACCACAATTACGCTTGATGCAATTATATTTCTACCCCTAACATACGATTACAATTGAACGGGGAAAAGTAAACCCTAATAAACACCAAGGACCTCTCTCGAGTATCAATGGCTTCCCTAACATACAATCAAGCCTATTCTCATGGTATCATGCATATTAGAGACATTAAACACATTACTGTCACTTCCCAATTATCAAACCCAACTACTCTCGTGTTGAATATCAAACCCTAAATTGATCTACTCAAATCCGTTTAAACCCAACTCTCGCTGTGATAGAAACAATGGAATAATCGCAATACTAAGATTACGTCTAATCTAGCATTGGCATAATCACAATCAATTTAGCATAGCAATTGCAAAAGTTATTAGAGAATTTAAATATTTAATTAATACATCAATTATAATTGGGCTACCCTAGATCTTGGAATAGGAAATCTACTCACACATATTGAAAGAAACAATAACAATAATAATTAAAGAAAACATAATTAAGGAATAAAAGATGAAAATAAAATACCTAATCTTGAATTAAATTGAAGGTGGAAAGTATAAATCTTGAATTACAAAAGTAAAGGAAAAAACAAAGAGAACTTGTTCTTAACAATGTGAATTAGAGAATAAAAATAAAACTTCATTAATAATAAAACACTACTTAATGTATATATAGGCCTAGGAAGATAAAAAGATAAACATCTTTTCTTGGCGCACAAGGACTCCAGGAGGCACGGACGTGCCTCTCCATAGGCACGAACGTGCCTCTATGCGTGCATAAACTGTTGTGGCTACTGACTTCTAGGCACGGACGTGCCTGGTGCTGGGCACGGACGTGCCTGCTCTGCTACGCGTATCACTCATCTTAAATCAGTCATAACTTCAAATCCGTAGTTCCGTTTGAGGCATGTAATATATCGTTAGAAAGGTCTTCAAGTCTACTTTCTAATTCAATTTGAATCTATCCATTATCATTTGTATACCAAAAGTTATGATCATAATAGTGAACAGGTGTCATATTTGTCAAGTATTTCATCAACGTTTTGCTTCATTTTCACTCAAGTTTGTCTCGAACACATGATTTGGTATTCTTCAGCTATATATTTTCATACTCCATGATTATTATACTCAAGATTAGCCAACCATACTCCATTTGCATATAAATCAACTGATATTCATCAAAACACACAAACGAAGAGTAGTAGAGCACAACTTAAGCAAATAATGCAAATATGCACCAAAGATCTCTAATTTTGTAATCAAATGAGCTTAGATACCCACCTAAAACATGTGCAAAATAGGATTTATCATATTAGAACAAAGGTCTTCTCTCTTTGGAGATCCCTTCAAGTTCACCAACTCAAGTGCTCTTTCCCAATGCCATATGATTGGTATTTATAGGGAAAGGAGCCCTTGAAATCCCATCTCCTATCAATGTGGGAGAATTGGTAAAAAGGAAAAATAAAATTTAATTTAATAATAAATCAAATTAAAAGCCAAATGAAACACCAAACAACAAGTGGCAAGAGGAGAGAAAAGGGTTAGGTGAGGACCACAAGGGGGGACCACCCTCCCCTTTCTCCCCAAGCAAAACCCACAAACCGGGTTCCCCCAAGCAACGCACAACTCACGGCGCGCCAGCTGGCGTGGCCTGCCTTGGGCGCCAAGGATGCCTCGCTGGTGGCCTAGCCCTTTGGCTGAGCCTGCCAGCTAGTCGCGCATGCTGGCAGCCTTGCACAAGCCCACAGCAGCGTGCGACGCGTACGCGGGTTGCTCGTTGATAGACATTGCTTCTGTGCTGCGTGTGCCTAGGCATGCTAGCCCAGGTAGCCAGCGTTTGCAACTGCTAGCGAGGCCCAACGCGTTAGCTTGAGGCTGGCCTTGCTAGCACTGCTAGCATGCTTTCTTGGCCAGCAAGCCCCAGCCAGCACCCGAGTAGGGCTGTTGGGCTTGCGGCCTTGCTAGCAGCTATGGCCAGCAGCCTTTTATAGCCTAGCTCTCGCTCAGCTAGGCCAACGCGAGGCTAGGGCTATATTTTAACTTGTTGTTTTGTTGATTTCTCGTCTTTCGTCGATTCCTAAAATCGACTCAACTTATAGCGCTCGGTTTCGACGCTCTAAGCTCGGAATCCGACGTCTTTGTTCATAAATACTCTATTAACTCATTTAAGCCTTCAGATTAATTCGTCGTTTCTTTTCGGTTAC